GTAGTAGCAGTAGTAGCAGCAGTAGTAGTAGGTAGTAGGTAGTAGGTGGTACGTAGTAGGTAGTAGGTAGTAGGTCGCTGGATCAGAATAGACAACCATTGGACTGAGACATGTCGATCGCTGGATCAGAATAGACAACATCTGATTCGGATTCGTTCCATTTCATTGTAAAACGACTTCGCTTGAAATCAACAGCAACAAACTCTCCCAGCAAAATGCGCAACTCCAATGCACCCACAAGTCTGATTGAGCAGGGTATTGTTGTTCGATGTCATTCTGGGTCTTTCATTTCAAACGGTTTGGAGAAAAAAAACACAAATCCTGCCAGATCTAGAAATTCTTCGGTCGCTTTGAAGCCTTCTGTGTGTGAAAAAGAATATCTGGTGCGTGTCGCAATCCCTCGAGACGGTCGAAAAAAAGATCTGCAAAGGAAAACATGCACACGGCCAAGTAGTTTGGAAGAAGAATCGTTTTCAAGGTCATGTTTTGTGGATAGTCTTGGTTCGCATTGCTTGTGTTGGTTTCACTTGGTTCCTCTTAGGTGATTCGACTGAGACATGCCGGTTCGGATCGCTGGATCAGAATAGACAACCTCTGATTCGGATTCGTTCCATTTCATGGTCAAACAACCTGGAAATAAACATCAACAAACTCACCCAGCCAAATGTGCACCTCCAATGCACCAACAAGCATGATTGAGCAGGGTATTGTATCATTAAGCTGCCTGCCAATGCGGGCTCCAGCTGGTGGCCGGCGGCATGCCGAAGGCTGTAAATATCCTCCGTCCAAAGCTTCCATCCCCTTACCCCTTCCATCCCGAACGGCTTCGTCGAGCCCCAGACGGCCCAACGTCCCAACCCAAAGACCAGTCCTGATAGGCTCTCGGTTCGAAGAGCACAGCTCTCAGAAGCCGCTGGAGCCTGAGCCGTTGAAGTTGCGGAGACCTTCAATGAGGTCCAAAAGGCGCAGCCGGGGGTCCAGCAGTGCCAGCAGGTGCTTTGTGTGGTTTCTGTTCAAATGGAATAGGGACCAGGATGGACCCAATCACCAGCGACCGGGATGATGACCAAGCACCATAGCATGATGAAGTCTACAAAAGGCCTCCATGTCCAAGACTTGACGGGAGCCTTGGGTGGGTTCCAGACCTGAGCACGCACGAGAAATCGTTCGTAGACGCTGGTGGCACTGCTTCTGCCAGTGTGGACATGGTGCAGGACTTCCCGGGGAATCCTTTTTGAGAATTCCTCCACCAGCCATTTTGGAGGGACCGCCAGCTGGAAAATTTCAAAGGGATTGACAGCTTAAAAGCTCAGCAACCAGATATAAGACTAGTTCAATCATGCTTCTACTTAGTGAATACCAGCATCCATCACCATAATTTATATGTAAACATTCCGCGAAACAAGATGATGTACCACCAAATCCAATAAATATGACACCCATTGACACCACAACAGCTCAGCGTCCGGCTCCTTGCTGTCCCAAGTGCTCGGGGTTGAAGAGATAAGCCGCCCGGTCCTGAGACGCAAAGAAGTCCAGCACCAGAGGGAGCTGCAAGTAGGGGACGGTCAGAAAGCCTGAAGCCAGCTGAGAAAGCGTTCCCAGAAGCTGCTTCATCACCATGGGAAAAACTTGTTCCTAGGGTTCTGGTACGAACGGAGCAAAGGGCATCGAAACGAACGGATTGACCTTCCTCCAAGATGCTCATCAAGGCCTCTGCTTCATCAGGGCTCAAAGTCTCCTGGAGTCGAGCGCGAGAGTCTCGGATCACAGATCTCTGGGTGTCAACGGCCCAAAAGCACCAGTGGACAAGTCCCAAAACCGGCGGCCAGGACCTTCAAGCTGATCTCCAAAACGATCCCAGGCTTGTTTGACAAATCACGCACCCAAAACTCTAGTTCGAGGTCACTGAAGGTCCTGGTCGCATGGGTCCTGGCTGGGGAAAGGTGTGAAGAGTGACTTGTTCTCATGGCACCTCCCAGAGGGTCCGTGGTCAACATCTCCGCACTGCGGCGATGCATTTCCCGAAGCCGGTCTGGTGGGGCTGGGCCGGTCTGGCGAGGTTGCGGTGCGAAGAAGCCTGCACTCGATGTGTGATGTCTCATGGGTTGGAACGCCTCATCAGGTGGCAGGACTCGAGGTGGTACCGCTCCTTCCGGCGGGGGTGTCTTCGATTCTGGAGCTCGTTGCTGATAGTACCCATGACTCAGTTAGCACTGTCCACCAATGATCTACTTAACAAAGCCAGCCGTCGGAAGACCCGAGAAACTGCTGGATCCCGGTCGAAGGAATGATCCCTCCACCCGTTTTCCTCGCGTTCGCCTCGCACCCTCTCCAAAAACACATGGCACACACACAACAAAAAAAGGTTCTTTCCTTGCATGACCCAGGGTCCAACATGATGACCATGATGTCACCATCCAATGCACCCATATGAAACCAGCACACATCCTTTTTCACACCCGTCCGTCGGGCCTCGAAGGTCGGTAAGCGTGCCGCATGCAGCACGTCTTCCTGCGCGGTCCGACCGCCACCGCCGCGCGCGTCGACGGGGTGCACCGCGCGTCAGACCGCGCCGCGTCGGTCCATCTTGGACGTCCTGGATTCAAGGCCTGAAGAAGGCCCCCGGATGCGGATGTGTTGAGGGTTTAGGGCCGTGGTGTCTGTTTTTGAGACACCTCTAACTTTGGTGCTTCTCGGGAAGAGCGAGGCAAGAGCGTTTATTGAGCCCATGGCCCCAGTCAACCTGGTCTTCACTCCTTCCTAGGAGTCTTTCTCTTGATGACCTGTACGTTTTAGAAGGGCCTCAAGGGACCTCATCATTCCGATGGATCTCCAGGAGAGTCACCAGGGGGAGGACCTTTGCGTCATCGGGACAGATCGATCCATGTCGCCTCAAAAGCCCGACCTTCCAAAGTCGCCTAAGTCCTTTGGATGTGTCAGTCATTTGAGTAATTAGCTGATGCTTGATTTTTTTGGGCGGGGTCCATTGATGCTGCTGTTGAAACTGCAAGCCGTTTCCGTATTCTTGAAAGAAGCCTCCTTCTTTTCAGGCATCGCTTTGGGCTCCACCAGGGTGCTAGCAAAGCTATGGCGCAAGTACACTTAGAGTACACCAACCACCCCGCAAACCATATCGGGGAATCTCTAGTGGATGCTTGCTTATCCATGAGATGCTTACACTCCCTGAAACAATCATGGAAGTGGAACATGGCCCCTGGACAGCCCATTTTCCTCTACAAACGGGTGTTTGTTGGAGGGAGGGTATTCCCTTGATCCACGGGGTAGTGAGAGCACCCAGTGTGCCCCGCCCGTGTCCTCCGTGCAGTTCGGCCGTTCTAGGAGCTTCCCCACATCGGCAGGGCTTTGAACCACTAAGCCTACGCAAAGCTGAAGAGCTGTGGTCCCAAGGATAGGCTTAGGACATCTCAATGTAGATTGTCGATGAACCAAGTCCCCAATATGAGGTGTTAATTACAATCCATGTCTGGGGGGCTTGATTAATCAAGAGTACGTTGGGACACTTGAGGTTCCTTTGTAGGCACATGAGTTCGGCACGTGACCACTCTTCTTGCTAAGCCGGTTCGCGTGCGTTGTTTTGCTAAGGGGTACCCTTTCGCGCCCGTGCAGGAAAAACAGTAACAAAAAGTTATGTTTGCCGTTTTTACCGCGGATATTGTATTAAAAAAGGGGGCGCCCCCCCGGTCAAAACAGAAAAAAAGAAAAGTTTCGATGTTTACCGTGTTTTCTGCGGATATGGTAGAAGACAAAAGGGGCGACTCTCCGTTAAAAACTGTAAAAATAAATAAGAACACAAAAAAAATAAAAACACGAGTTTTACCGGGTTTACCCCGGATATGGTAGAAATGGGGCGACCCCCCAGTAAAAACGGTAAACAAAATAACAATTTCGATTTTGACCGTGTTTACCACGGATATGGTAGGAGAAAAAAAGAAGTTAGTCCCCCTGCAAAAACGAAAAATCACATAACTTTGATTCTTACCGTCTTTACCGCGGATATGGTAGAAGACAAAAGGGGCCAACTCTCCGTTAAAAGCGGTAAACAATAAAAGAACCATGTTGAATTTTAATCGTGTTTACCGCGCGGATGCCTCGGGAACAGGTCGCAAGCTAGAAGAGCTCTCTGTAAACAAAAGGTTTAATGTTGACCTCTGATTAATACACGGGGGGTATCACTTTGTGAAAAATTTGTCAACCCTAAATAAAGTGCATCGCGATTCAAGAATATGTTTTAGAGACATGCAATGACCTCTTACTAAAAACATTCAAACGAAAAGCAGGAACAAATTTAGTAGAACAATAGAGTCATCCCTGATTAAAACCAATATTAAAATATAATGGATGTCGTGTTTTAATCAGAAATCGATAGATAGAATCAACTCTAAATTGAGTTCACATAGATTTGAATAGCAATAGAACTAGAATAGAATTAGAACTGAATTTCAATTAGATTAAAGATTGAAATGGATTATGATTAGAATTACATCTATTTTTTCGACATTATAAACAATTTTTTGGCACTCTTTGGATGCACGGCCATGGTGTGCCACAGAGCACAGACGAAGGTTGATCCTCTACACAGGAATAGTTTCCATTTTTCCACACCAAAACCGGTCACATATGTTTTATTCTGCTAGCATGACTTGCAGTTCAATTCTGAAAGGCTGTTGTCGCATCCCGAAATGAGTGCTGCACAACTACAAGCTGTGAGTGGTCCAGTCCACCGTCAGGATTCACCATTCGAGTCTACGCAGACTCCTTTCATGCAGGTCTCCCAGTGGCCAATGAATCGATGTGACTATCCATTCATCCATTCTATCAGATTTGCTTGGTCATGCTTTTGCAGCACTGGCTCATTGGGTGAAAGCTGTTGCCTGGGAGCGCAGAAGGTAAAAAGACGGGCACCCCCCCGGTAAAAACGGTTAAAAAAACAAACAAACAAACAAACAAACAAACAAACAACAACAACAACAGCAACAACAACAACAACAACAAACAAACACTGTTTATCGTTTTTACCGCGAGGATGCCTCGGGGGAACCCCGTAACTAAACCAGCACAGCGTTGCCGGGCGCGACAGTCTGGCAGATCCACCGAAGGCAAGGATCCAAGCGGCGATTCACACCTTCAAACCCCTCGACCTTGCCCCCAACCTCACTTGGGGAGCCAGGTCGAGGGGGCGGCCTACCACCAAGTGCATCTCTCCTCCCAAAGAAACATTGGAAACTCACTACCTCCTTGCAGGTCGGACATCTTTGGACACCTGATCCAGCTGTGGACCTCACTTCGCCAGCCGTCCCCTCTCTCTCCTCAACTTCCGCCCCCCGTCTCAACCGCTCTCGCGTCTCGCCGTCTCGCCGCCTCGCCGTGCCGTCTACCGCACCCCCCGTCTTCCCCCCGCACCTTCTCCCAGCGTCAACTCCCGTCCGAAGGCGTTGGCCGTGAGGTCTGCGATGTCCTGCTCCGAACCAGTCCCGCGGAGCCACGAAGCGTGAAAACGCGCGCCGGTTCGCGGAGCAACGGGTGCGGGCCATGGTGGGACCGGAGGGACAAGAAGCACAGAAGAAGGAAGGAAGGTCGACCACTCGAGGGTGGCAGATAAGGTAGCTAGCTATGCAAGCGTGGATTTGTGACAAACTGTCTCTGACTCAACCATTGAAGCAGACTTGGGTGCTGACAGACCTGTGTCACGTTCGACAGATGGGCCTGGACCACACGCTGACTTGGACAGATGGTGCGGACTGCAACCGCCGACTCGGCCGTGGACGTGCATGTGACGCGGATGTGTGGATGACAAATAACTGTCTCTGATCCTGTCATTCAAGAGGCGTCGAAGTCTCAAGAGGCTTCACCTATGAAAAGAACGCTCGAGGCTTCACGTTTGGCCGGACAACACCTCTTTGCTTGCTCTTTCTGAAAACACTCTACCACAAAGCAACACAAAGGGCGTTTGATTCGATGAGTAACCAAATGGATTCATCAAGGAAGGCAGGTGGTGTAACTCCTTAGCAGTAAACCTCCGCAAAGATGGCCTTCTGCCAAGGGTGTGTACATCTTCTCCAGTTGTCAAATATCGTCAAATCTCCAGGAAATGGATGCCAAACCATCAGGAAACCAGAGTCCTCCGATCATTTTGGACTTCCTTTTGACTTCAGGCGATTTCAGGCGATTCTCAGACTTTGGATAACCTTTTGCTTGCGATGGCACAGTGGTTTTGGGTGTTTGGATGGCACACATGTGCAAGTTCGGTGGTTTAGTAGTGGACCCCCATCGGTCCACATGTAGGGGCACCAGTGCCATCGAACCTCTGAAGCCACTGAAGCACATTCTGAAACCACTGGTCTACAGTGACCGCTGGCCATCAGACGGATCAAACCTTTCCAACAGAAGCTGGCCCAACACGTGCACCAGCATCCACCAGGAATTCATGGCAACTCTGCCATGAAGACGACCCCACATGACCTCAACTCCAGCAATGTGTCCCAACTGACTCAACTGTGCGGCTTCCGCAGCTTCTCAGAGGTCACGTGTCTTCTCAAAGGTCACATGTCTACACCTCTTTTCACCTGTTTTCACCTCAAGCCTAGCTGGGTTCCAGGACGTTGCACGAAGCCGCGTCCTGATCAGCTCCTCGAACACCTTGCACCTCCCAATGGATCGCCTCAATGGCTGAAAAACACCCAATCTGGTCGACCCATCTTCTTGGTGATGGTCTCAGGGTGCGTTCCTTCGCCAGGAGGTTGCAAAAAACCAGTGTCTACCTTCACTTTGGGGAGGGTAAAAGCATCTTGGTCGCCCAGTGAATTCGCTCATAGAGCTTTTAGTCTTGACGTCCCCACGGAAGAAACCGTGCTTCGTTCAAGGCGATTGGCCGCGTAGGGGATTGGCCGCTGAGGCCATCAGATGGACCGGGGAAGAGTGTTGGGTTTCTGAGTCAGCGCATCCTTTTTGCGCTGCATCTCTTTCCGGTTCAAACGAAACATGTCTGGAAGTGGAAGTGGCCTCCCCATGGCCTCCCCAAACTCATATACACCCCCCCCTGAGAGTCAAACTGTCTGGCCTATGTTGTTTTATGTTTGTGTGGGGGAGGGTGTCGTGACGATCTATCTGGCTCCAAAGAATTAATCATTCCAAGAAGATTCATACCTCCCACAAACCCTCAACTAGACCCGGAAGTCCGTGCCCAACAACAGCAGGAACAACAACAACAACAACAACAACGGTTTAGATATATATATATATATATGTATACACAGACATAAGCTAAAGAAACAAACAATAAACATATATATATATATGTTTACTATTGTTACTACAGTAGCAATAGACAAGAACGTCTGTTACGACCTTTCAGCCTAGCGGCACTGCTTCAATCTCACGAGTCCGTGTGTCACGTCGACTCCACCGGGTTTTGAGTCGGCATGTTCCGTACGCACGGCACACTTTTGGGCACCGGAGGAAAACCCCCACTCCGGATGGGTGTGTCTTCAAATCGAAGCAAAAAAGCAGAATCAGAGAATCAGAGAATCGCTGAATCTCAAATCCAAAAAAGAAGAGTCGCGAACAAGGCTCTACCCCCATCTTTACCCGAGAGTTAAAACGAGAACCCTTCGCTACGCATTCGGGAAAAAAGAGACCAAAAACACGCCCTCCGTCCCCTTTTCGCGCCGCGCGGGCCACGAACTTCACCTTTGAGACCCAGGTGGCTGGGACGTCCTGTCGCCAGCCAAAGCCCGGGCGGCTGGCCATGTCCCCATCAAAGGTCAAACGCCAAAACCTCGGCAGAACCAAGGTGGCGAAAACACCACCGTGAAGCTGGAGCATCATAGAACCATCGTACGCAGCAGTTTGAAAGCGAAGGGTTTTGAGTCCCATCCGTATGGATCCACTGCCCTGTTCGACTCGTAGGCGAGTTGGGAGGGTCCAATCACCTTCGAAAAGAGGGTAGCAGAGGATCCCTATAGGGGAGATCATAGAACCCCCTGTCCAAAATGGTCTTTGGGCCGTTGGCCCTTTCGGCTTCGTCTAGATCTCCGAAGGCACCAATTGATCTGCGAAGACACCAAGCAGGGATTCGGGGGAAATTCCTTCTGGTTCCCCTTCGAGCAATCCCCTCTAGTTAAGCTCTTCGATTTACCAAACCATTAAGCTCTTGGATTCACGACCTCTATTTAAGCTCTTCGATTTCCCAATCTTCCCCAAACCATGGTGATTTCAGGTCAGAAGACCATTTGTAAGGGGCATCCAGCTTCACTCCTTTGAATTCTATGAGAGTCAGCGACCAAAGAGGCATCCCCCCTCCCCTCTAGGTGTCCAAGACTATTTTAAAGAAAGGCTCACCCAGTGTTGGAGTCTAAAACCCCTTGCCTACCTCAAGATACCTTCAGAATCCTCAAAACTCCGGATTCGGCCCATTTGCAGGCCAAAAACCCCGTGGATCCTCCCACCCCCCCCGTCCTCCTCCTCCTTCATGGATCATCTCCCAACCTACTGGGACCTCCCTCCGTGCCCTTCCCCTCCCGAGGCTCTGGTACTCGTTGGTGTCCCGGCGCTTGCGCAGCAGCTCGGTGCTCCGCGGCTCCATGGTGCCCAGAAACTTGAAGAGCATCGCCATGTCGCGGCACCTTACAGCGGTCAGAGGCGGGAGGCGGGAGGCGGTGTGTTCCGGAGAGACCGGAGAGACCGGGGACGGCGGAGAGACTGGTAGGGTCGACTGGTAGGTGAAGAAGGGGGTGTGAAGAAGAGGTGCCGTTGTTTCCGCGATGGAATCCAAGGGGCAATATGGCAAGTGATGTCCAACGCACGTCTTTGGCAGAAACACTGGAAACGAGCAAAAAATGTCGTGTCTGCGATGGTCACATGAACTTAAGGCCTTGCTTCGGAGGGTGAAAAAGAACTGTCTTTTCAATAGTTGTTGGCAAGAAGGAAAAATGGAATGATCTTTCTTACCGTACCTTCCCTCAATCTAAAAAAAACAAAATTCCGTGTTACCAATTAATCATCTTCACAGAACCGTGCCGAGAACACACACGGGCAGGCGGATGCAAGGCGCCAATACATCTCTGGACAGGCTTCCCACAGCTGCCCACGGCCGAAGAGCCACTCCTTGGGTCAGCTTGGGCATGGACCGCTTCGAGCCAATCCCATAGATTTGGGTGAAACCGCTTTGCCAGCCAGGCAAACCATGGTCTGAGACGGGCTTAACCCCTGACATGTTCCTCCATCATCTGGTGGGGACCGACTCCAACCCGTGGTCGGGCAAGACTCTCTGAGGGGCATGTTCACGCTGCCAGTCAGCCCAGTCAAAAAAGGACTTAGAAGGAAGAGATTGGAGGGGCGTGTGGGCATGGTGAAAGAGAATGGTTGCAAAATGTTGACTTAGTCGCAAGGGAGGTTTCCCAAGTCAGGCCCCCTAAGTCGCACACAAAGGCCAACTCAATAAGTCGTCGCTTCCCACCCGGTACAATGCGAGCTGTCGCTTAGCGGCTTAGCACATGCACTGTGGGCACAGCACCTGAGTAGTGTGCTCAAAGAAAGCAAAATGACGGCTGGACGCTGAAATTAATTACGTTGCATCCGGCAACAACTGCACCACCTTTTGTGACATTGTCTTCCTCCAAGCTATCCGATCGGTTTCTTCTGCGGCAACAGCCCCATCACTCTGTCAACGTATATATACTCAGCCACGGGTGATTTGTTCCACTCTTCTGTATCATGGGGTCCAACTGTGCAGCTGCGCTGGCTGCCAGACGAAGGGAAATGATTTGGTCCAAAACGCTGCGCGGCTGGTGGTGTGATGCATCCCATATGAGCTTGCCAGTCAGCAGGCTCAAGTGCGCTGGTTCAATCACACAAACAAATCAAACAATATTCAAACAATTCAGACAAACATGTGCTCACAAACAAAAAACTTCGTCTTGATTGGTTGGCTGTTCTTTCTTCCTCTCCTTTCTATTCTCGGAAATGAGTGAAAGCACAGAATCAACAATACAGTAAGAATGCTGTTGCCTTCCAATTGAGAATCCCTTAAATCCGATTCAAGGGCAGAATGGCGGCTGTCCAGCAACACCCAAAAATGCCAACCAAATCAGGCTGTCCGGTCATCTGTGGAAATATTGCCTGTTTACTTGCCCGTTGCCTGGCCGGCAATACTTCTTGGCCCGGCAATGGCCCGGCAATTCTCACGTCCGGCTTTAAAGAATTGGTCTTGAGAAATCACACTTGGTTTTCCGTAGCTTCTTGGGTTTTCTATTGTCTATCAGTCTGAAAACGACTGTGAAATCACGGGCATCGACGTCCTCGTCTTCCTCGTCTGCCTGCATCGACTTCGACGTGTCTGGCCACCATCCGACGTGTCTGGCCTCATGGAGGTCCAAGTTTGAGCTCTCACCCAGCATCCAAAAAGTACCATATGGGAAAAAAGGGACACCAACAGAAAGCAACCCAAAGAGTACCGCTCTAATTCTTGTCGTTATATATATATATATATAATTATAATTCTTCTCTTTTTGGCCCTTCAGCTTTCAGACCAACCATTCGAAAGTCGGCCAAACTCTGAAACTCAGGGCCAAGGGCCGAGGGCCCCCTGTCCCGTCTGGTCTAAGAGAAAACCCCACAACTCCAGCTTGCCAGCTTCTTGTGGTTCATTGGGACTCCCTCCCCACGCAGTCCCGTGGTCCCGTTGGGTACCGGGACTCCATGAGCGCTTCCATTTCGCTCACCGGCGGGCCATCGCGAGGGATCAGCTCCAAGCCCTTCCGCTCCAAGACCTGCAGAGGAAAAAACACCATCAGGTCATGACCTACAGACCTACAGCTCCAAGACCTACCAGCACCTTCAAAGGGGTCACCTGGCTCGAAGCCCCTACACCACTAAGGGACCTCCATTGGACACCCCTTGAAGGTCCAGGTACAGCTCCAAGACCTCAACACCTCCAAGTCCTGGCCCTTCCCTTCATCGCCGATCCACCCAAAACGATGAGAATCAGTTGGGCTTTGGAAGGTGGCAGCACATGGCAGCACAGGTTCCCGACTTCGAAAGACCCTTGTAACCAGATTTGAAGGAAAAGAAGGACAAAACATCTGTTTACCAAAGAACCAATCGAACCAATCCATCTTGCTCCAAAAGCCTTTTGGCGCCGGAAAAAAAAAAAAGGTCCGTTGGAGCCCGGGTGACTTCTTCCTGGTCCTCGTGGCTTGAACCGCGACCGGCGGGGTTTCACCGCGCTCTCGCCTTCCGCAAGAGGGCCATCGTGGAGGAGTATTTTCGAACCTGGCGGTCGGTGTTTCACCAAACGGTCATCGAAGATAGGTCGCTACATGCGAACCCTGTGCAATCCCCCCTTACATGGGAGTTCTGTGCGTTACACCTTTGCTATACACTTTCCGACACATCCAACACCTTCCGACAGGTGCATCTTGGAGGACCCAAAAGAAACCGGTGCGTGCTTGATGTTTGCAGCCGCTCGTTCCGCGGTACAGGATTGGAGGGCCAATCATAGATGAAGCGGAAAGTAAAAATCATGATATATAAGAAAACACACACATTGGGTCTATCCTAATACCTGTAACCGTGGATGATGGTTCAGTGCCTTGTTCAAGAGTGATTTGCTTGTGAACCCGGGTCCTGTTACAGGTCTAATCACGGACAGACCCGAAACAAAAAAAAAACTCTTCGATCGCATCGAATTGGTAGAGGTCCAAGTCGAAGCCGTCGATGGACCAACTCTGTCCAGGGTCGTGATGGTCGTGTGCACGACCACACTCCGTGCACGGGCACGGTAGGTACTTCGGCCCGGGCGAAAGCACGAAGACTCCATGGGACTGGTTTAAATACCTTTTAAACGTCACAGCAAGGTCACAGCCCTGGCCTACACACCCAGGTCTGGCCCTCACACAACCAAAGCATGGGACGGAAGGCTAACATACTCCTTGGTTGGCAGAAGTGATCCAAATCTGTGGTGCACCAACAACCCCCCACCCATACTCCCTCGCCGGTGCTTCCCAAAAAATGCCGTGCAGTCCCAGACTGGCCCCGGATGCCAGGTCTTCATGTTACAAACATCCTTCACAATACCCCACACAGATTTGGGACCCAGAAAACTGGTGGTTCTCAGTTTTCAACATCACGGGGCGTTCAGCAAGTCGAGAGGTTCCAAAGCACTGCCCACGGCACCCTACCCTGCCTTTGAAGACGAGTTTACTATATACAAAAAGATATGTGACATGTGAGAATGGTGAGGGGGCTCTGAGTGTATCTTCCATGGGTGGGAACTTCTGGATGTTTCTTGACCAACATTCACCAGCCTGAATGAAAAAGAAATCAGAGCAACATTCAGATGAAACCGTGGGTCACAACCTAAACCTTCGATGACCCATCTCATGCCCAATCTCATGCTCAGTCACTCCATAGGACTGGCGACATGCACGGAGGACGTCTCTGACGAACGACTCGCGTCGCCTCGAACGTTCCGCTGCCCACCATGCGAAAGTCAAAGATCCGGTGCCGCGTGGCACTCTCCCTGCCGGGGCTGTCGCGTGGTCAGTTTGGGCGGCGTGAGGGCCGAAACCAGCGGGCCGACCGTGTGCGAAGCCAAAGGCTGGAGGGTAGTTCGTGTTGAAAGACCGATCAGACCATGCCAGAATGCCGCGAACTGCTACAGGGAATAGTCATGCATCATACGCCCATTCCATCAGATGCGATGTCAAGTGACTTTGAGTGGTTGGTCCGATGCTTTTCTATCAAGGAATACACCGATTGCTACCTTGGTACGTGCAGGGTGACCATCCTCCCAACAAATGTTCTATCCCCTTCAAGTCCAACGGATCGGTGTTGTTTCTACGCGCTTTCTCGCTCGTCCTTGTTTCCATCGGCGGTGTTGGGGTCGAATCCAACACCAAAGCTGTCTCCCTCCGATGACTGGGGCGAAGCGGGCAAAAAACCCTTCCTTCGTACTAACAGCTGGGCTCTACCCATCGGGTGGACGGATCACCTCATGCCCGCTGTCCGCTCCTCACCTCACCCGCTCGAAAAGCGAAAAGGAAAGGGTTTGATGACCTCGTAGCCGCCGTAGGCCCATCTCGGACTCCACAAACCCACTCTCTTTGAGGTATGTGGATGTGTTCGACTCGGGTTGGCGAGGTTCGACTCGGGTTGGCAAGTTGTGAGGGTCGAATCGAGGAGAAGTCCCCCCACCACCACGCGCGTCTCACGCGCGCGGCTCGCGCTGTCTCAACCCCCAAAAGCACGCGCGTGGTGTTGTTTTCTTGCTCGGCCGCTGGAGGAAGGCCTCGCTGTGAAGTAGGCCAAGATCTCGCGACCTCAGCACCCGGTCCAGCTGGACTCCGAACCAATCCTCATGGCAGACTGATCGGATGCTTCAGTCGGACCCAAGGTGATCCTGTCTTCAAAGGGTTGCGACCAATAGTGCTGCACGTGGTTTTACCCTTCCCGAAACTACCAGGAGCCAAGATCACGGCGGAGTCATGCTCCGCTGTCTGACCTGCGGCCCGGCGCCATGGGACAGCCCGGCCGCGGAAGGGCTGGGCTCTTCGGTAAATCAGACCTGAAGCAGGACGGTACCGCTAGATTCAATGGATTGGTTTATGGGAGAATCTACAGGAAACCAGGAAACGTCACCCCAAAAAAGACTGTGGGTGTCCGAAAACGGTCCCTTAAACTCAATTCTGGGGATGCGCCCACTCCTCCAAAGACTCCATGGCACCCAGCGGTGGTGTCGGACCAGGGGGCTTCGGACGGCTTGGATGAGACCAAGGACCACTCTTCTTCAACTCCCACCATCGGGAGCATCATCTATATATGGCTCAATTCTGCTTCACAAATCTTCACCACCAAATCCAAGACACAAAATAGGCCCAAACATGTCATGGATCAGTCCAAAAGCTACCAAAACGGCCTGAACCCAAACCCTCATGTTGAATCCCCAAAAAAACCATGGCTTTCCCACAGCTACCCTCCTCTCCAGGTGGCGTTTCTGCAGCCATCGCGGCTCGAGCAGCTCCACACGCTGCAGCACCTGGAGGCTGGAGGAGCTGTAAGAAATAAATTGCACCTGGCAATGGAGCCCAAAAAAAGCGGATTTCGACCCTGTTGACTCAGTGTCAACTCCGAATCAGCGATTTGAGCCAAGTTGACCTGATAATCAGCTCTTCCTGCCATGAGGACACATCGTTCTTGTCAAACCATTGCAAAGGCGAGAACGTGTGTCTTCCATCGCTTCATCCCCGTTCCAGCGGAGTCTTGGGGATGATCTTCCGCTTTTTCACTCCGGCTTCAGAAGGGACCAGGTTCGGTTCGGAGGACATCAATCAACATGACCTCTTCGCTTGGGCGCCGAGGCACGCCGCCGACTCCAAAAGAGGAAAAACAAGAGGGGTGTGTCTCTGGTCTCGTCGGTCGAGTGGAGAGGGTGTGATGGGTTTCGTGGGCGAACTTTGGGGGGGTCGGATGGAAAACGTGATCAGTTGATCTGGAATGAGAAATCACACACAGCTCGAAGCTCCACAACCACTTGGTTTGGGGCAAAATTATCCAAGCTGTTTCACGTGCCTGGAGCCTCCTGATCGTTCGATCGGTGCACCATTCTGTGCGTCCTTTCAAGATGGGGCGGCCTGGTCGGCCTGGTCGGGTCCTTTTCCGATGAAGCACTGAACTTAAGGAGTCTTCAAAAGAAGCTGGAGTCAGAGTCAATACCTGGAGTTTAAAATGGAGCTGTGGTACCCCTTCATACCCTATTATGGAACAGACCTGTTGCGTTTGTGCCTATGCACAACATTGCACTACCGCTTTCCTGTAGTATACCTTTGAGTACCCGTTCGTACCCAGTCGAGTCGGCCTTAGTCAGGTCGAAAAAAGTACCCCTTTGTTGGTAGCTCAATTCGCATCTTCGTTCGGGTACGACCCGAAGTAGTCGGCTCCGGGTAAGATCATCACCTTTTGAAAGCCCTACAGTATCTACAGTCAGGTCCGACCCAGATCCAGGTCTCCAAGTCCTAGAAACCTTGAGTTTCTGGCACTGTGCAGGTAGTGAGGTCGAAGTGACCTGTCATTAGGGAGTGGTTGACTGTTCTTGGCAAAAAAAGAAAGGAATTTCATCAAATCCCACCAAGAACAGTCAAGAACAGGACTTGGACATGTGCGTTTCCATTTGGGAAGAAAGGAATTTCATCGATCCCCACCCCTTTTGTGGTCTCCGCGCTTCTTCCAACGGCGCAGGGGGCCCCACCTGCGTCAAGGGCCGAAGATCTCCACATAAACCCAAATGGAAGCTCATACCACCGTCCTCCTTCAGCAGCTCCTCACATGCAGTCAGGCCCCAGGCCAACCCGGTTTGGAGGCCTTTTCCTTCCACACGGCTTGGGCCGATCGCGAGCCAAGACATGGTGGAATGGGGGAAAGGGAGTGGCCCACGGTCGACTTGACCAAGAATGCTGTGACCGTCCAGGTGTCTTGGGTCTGCACCGCAAAGAAAGGCGTGCGCACAAATGGCCAAGACCGGCCAGACACCCAAATGTCTTTGCCATTCCATGCAGCACTTGACGTCACCCCAGAAGCCATGGACAGAGAGACAAAGAAGCAGGCGAAGAAACCAACCAGTCACGCTAAGAAACCACCTCTCATTGAAGAAGTTCCAGCTTCAGGTCAATCAATGGTTTGATCATCCAAGACAGACCCAGAATCCCAGAAAGCGAAAAGACATGTGAAAAGCACCCAGGTTTTCGTACATGCAACCCACAGGTCTGCATGTCCGCATGGTTAGCCGGTCATGTCTAGCAGCTAGCATTTCAAGGCCTTGCCTTCCCAAAAAAATGCTTTTAAACTGTACAATTTCTTTTGGGGCCGAGCCACATGTTTGCTTCTGTCAATATCATGTTCATCAACAAATTCACACCAAACTGAAACTCTTAAATTCCATTGGGCTTCTTGAACTCAGTCAACCTCAGTCAACAGCGTGGGTATTGTGCCGCCCAGCTGCCGCCAGTAGGGTGCCGTTGGGCACAGGTCGTCGGAGGAGTGCATCAAACACACCTCGAAGCCCCACGCCCCACGGTGCTTCCGCCACGGTGCTTTCGCCAGCCCAAGGGCGGAAGCACGAAGAGTCTAAAAACGCACGTGTTTTAAGGACGTTTTGTTTGAGAACTTCCGGAACTTGACTCATGAACTACTCCACCTGGTAGTCAATCCATCCACCACATACCATAAAGGTAAAAGGAGTCAAGCTTGCACTCTCAGCTGTGGTATTGTTGCTCCCGATATGGACCATGCAGGTGTGTGTTTGCTCTGTTGGGCGTGTTTGGGCAGGGTGGAACCCTGTTTTGGACACACAGAAGAAGGACCACTTCGGCTCGAGCTTCGGTTCCTTGATTGGAGAGCCCTAGACGGGCTACCTCCATAGACAACATGTTGATACTGGAGTGCGCACGAGGACATCTGACGAAAGAAAACCCCTATCTTTTGTGAGTGGGGTGTGGGTCGGAAGGCTGCACACTCAGATCCTCATGGCTAACTGTTAGACCTACGAACGCAATTCCCACTCGTCACCATCCATAGCTGGGGGTGCCAAGGTCCTAGTTCACCAAATTGCTCGATTCTTCCGCCCTTCACTGACAGCTCGTAATTTGGCACGCTCATCACGACCGCCACACACCAGTCTTTATTCCGGACAACAGGTCAGTGAACTGGCTTTGTGATGGTGAAGACCCAATGGTTGGCTGCAAGACCTCACCTAACCCTATGGGGAGTATGGATGAGTGCGTCTATCGTGACCGGCCAGAAGGCCAAAGCCGCAACAGGGCGGAACCCTGCGGGTCCTTCTATAGCGCGGCAAGGGTTGCTCTCCCTGGGGATTCGCTGCCACCCTCACAACTCGCCTATATCGACGGTGGCAGTGGATCCCTTTTGGGGCCTTGCACGCAAAGCGTCTGTGTGATGATCTACCTATACAGTAAGTATGGTACCGACGATCGGTCGACTTGTTGATTTAAACAAATTGCATTCCATACTCACAAGAATATCCAACATATCAAGAAAAGAGCCACAATACCACCATGCCACCTCCAAGTTAGAAAGCTGTGGAAAGAATAAAAAGAAACGTGAGACCAGAGCCCCTCAGTGGCTCCCGTCACCAACAACGGCCGCTCCCAGTGGCAGAGCATCTGGCTCACCGCGAGCAAGCGCTCCGAGTCTTCAGCCCTTTGAGCACGTTCCAAGCTCTGCCAGCAGAAGGCATAGAGCGATGCCAGGTCCAGCAGGGCTTTCCTGGAGACCCGTCCAGCCCTCCCTCCCAACGTCGGTGTTCGACCCGCCCACCGTGCGTCGGTGTGGGAAGCCGTTTCGACCCAAACAGAAGACCGGTCGCTCCACTGGACTCCGAGGGTCGGTTCGGTTCGGTTCGTCTCAAGAGGTCCGTGCTACACCAGACGAGACGACCTTCAACGTTGGCCTGAAGGACCATTGAACAAGGCCTGGACGTGTGAAATCCCTGGAGTCAAACCATGCTTGTTCAGTAAAGCCATGCATCAAAAGCCTATTGAAGTCCTATGCCAATCGAAAAATGGATCGAGAGAATGCTGCATGCGCCTTCCGAGCAGCAGGACCCAGCAACAGGACCCTGTTCACCCATCCAGGCGGTTCGTTTTCGGCTCAGGTCTTTGGGGTCTCGGGTCTTCTTAGAAGTCTGAAATCAGTCCGACAATTGCCTGAGAACTCAGAAATCGGAGAAACTGACCATGTCAAGTGTGACTAGTGCTTTTTACCTTGAGGTGTGCCAAAGACGTTGCCTACTCAAGACACATCAAAACACACCCCCACCCAGATGACCAAGCGCTTCTCCAAACACAGGGCGGCTCGCACGGTGAATTCCCTCGTCAACGAGTGTTCGGAGAAAACAGCCGACCCATTTCTTCGAGGTGTTCAGCATTGCGCAACATGTTAAGGCCATTGCGGTTGGGGGTCCTGCAGTTGGAAGGAAATTGCATCGTGCAGAAGAGGAAAAAGAGGGTTCCTGCAGTTGAGGCACATCGGTTTCGCCAAGTTCAAGGCCCCAAACCTTCTTCTGTTGTGATCAGGCCGTGGAGTAGGTGGAAAAAAACAATGCGATCTTTTCGCGGTCGACGGCCCAATAGGGAGACCCCCCAGTTCGACCCCCAAGAAGGAACACAGACCAAAAACCCTTTTCTTGGAGACCTCCTTGTTAAAATACAGTAACAAAGGGCATCGCTACTAGGAGCAAGGATGCTACTAGTAGCTCCTGTCCGTACTACTAGGAACAAGAAGCTACTAGGAGCAAGGGCATTGCTACTAGTAGCAAAGGAGATGATGAACAGAACCATTTGAAGGGGGGCCCTGCAATTTTAAGGCACAACGCTTTCTCCAAGTCACAACCCTTTTTTCTGTGCTTCGGCTGAGCGCTCGTCAGCGCCCAAGTCGCTAGACCAAAAGTCATCAGCGCCTGCGTTCTGAGCGGAAAACCGGGTTCTTCAGAGTGATCCAACTTGATAACCCCAGGTGTGTGGTCACTTCGACCGACACTTCCCCAGTTCGGTCACCGACAAAGAATGTTCGGCTGATTCAAGTCTTCTGAAATTGATTGCAACGTTGACACCCGGACACACCCGCACATCTACAAAGACAAGCATGTTCAGGTTGTGTGTGTGGCCCTGGGGCATGAGGACTGAGAAATGCGGTTGGTGAAGGTGGGGTTTGCACCGCTTTTTTCTCTTACCCCCCTACCCAAACCTCAACGAATCTTCTTATCTCACAACACCACATCAACATCATGCGAGAATGTTCGCATGAAGACTGTTGAGTCATCTCTTCCTCCCGTTGGTATGCATGTTCAAATGAGAAGCCCGGAAAAGAAACCATCGCGCATGAAAGAATCACCGAAGCTCCCACGAATCCAGCTGTATTTCTTGCTCCTCTTTGGAAAAAAAGAAACGAGCAGTGCCTTTGACAAAAGGCCATCTCAGTGGGGGAAATCGTCGCATCAGCTCAGATACTCTACCCTGCAAATGCTCTTCATGTACCATCGTTGCATCTTGCACTGCAAACACCACAAGCATACTCTACCTACTGTTCCCAAGGGCTCCGAAGAAAGAACCATGCCACTCAACTCCTCCATCGCCTTACCCCCCTTCGCGAACGAAGATACCAAAAAGGATCCCACCAACGGAGGTCTCTCATGGTCTCTCGTCTCCTGCGAGTCTCGGGAAGTGCCGTGGCTCCCGCCTTCCCGTGGAACGGGCAAGGAATCCAGCGTGACCTCGGTCCGAGGGGTCCGTGCCACCCGAGGTGCGGTCCCATCCGAAAGCGCCCGAGACGAGGTGCGGAAAAAGCACCCGGAAAGGCCCTCTGAACCGGAACTGCTTCACCCAACATGAACATGAAGTGTGACCGCTTCATCCACCTGAACCTACTGTAGCGGAACATGAACTAGCCCACCTGGAAGTCAAGTTCATTACCACCCACTACCAGGCTCGGGTCAATGACCCATGACTGGACTCTCAGGGACGAGATGGGGCCCCCTTCCCCCCAAAAAAGGATCGGAACTGCAGCCCCCAGCTCCCACCTGGTCGATGTCATCGATTTCGGAGGGCGCCCAACACATTTGCGGGTGCTCTATGCGTGGTTGGGTTCTCTATGGGTGTCGGAGAAAAAGCTCTGAGACGAAGGAGCCCAAATGTTGTTCTCTGGTCCAAAGGGATTGTAAGAATGAAAAGAAGCCTTCAACCAAAGAGATGAGACAAGAATGCAACTTTTTCTCAAAGGCTGATGGTGCCACACTCGATAGACTGGAGCATTCTATCTGGTGCAGGTGCAACATCTACTGAAACACCCACAAATGTTTGGCCACCGCCTCCAGTTATGGGCGGCCACTGCAGCTTTAATCAGGCAGCTTCACCCTGGCAGCTTCCGAACTGCACTCTTCATCGTCAGGACCCACGAACTGTCTTCAGTGACATCAACTGTGGACCTCCGACCGGGTCGGTTGCAGTCCGCCTCCCCGACCTTCGGTGCCTTCGGTCAGCAACTCACCGCCCGTTGTTCCGGGACACGTGTGGTGAAACCCCTGTCCTCGTCTGGGGGGGGCGGGATCGTCAGGTAGAAATGATGTATTTCATGGAAATGAACAGCGAGAAATAAGAGGTTTCACAATCCAAATAAAAGAGGTCTTACAGTCCAAATGGAGGCTGTCTATTAAGATTCTGCATCACTCTCTCAAATGCACTCGTGGTGTCGGAGTGGATGTGGGAGACCGAAAAGCCTTCCCTTTGTGGCAACGGGTCTTGTCACTGATACTGGGGTCCCAGTACTTGCCACCTGAGGCTTCCGAAGGAGTTCTCCTTTCTTTTGAAACAGTTCGCCACCGACATCAGGTCA